GTACAGGCAATAAGTCTTCCATCAAATGGTATATAATAGAGTCTGACTACATCTATTCAATTCATAGATGCATTCTTATACTGCAGTCCATCAAAGTATGACTTCCAGTAGCGAATAGAGCAACATGATTAAAATTGATCATATGTTGTTTCTCTCCCCATCTCCCTAAGGAGAAGTGTATGCAGTGAAGCGTCATCTTTTTTTGCTTGCATTTTAAAAGGTATATTTATGTTCGAGAAGACAAGATTGAAGAACCGTGTCTTTCACCTGGAGTTGAAAGAGGAGAGTTTTGAGACGGCCCATAGTTCCTTTGGGACTTCATTCCACAATCTCAGACAGAAGGTCAAAAAGTTACATCTCCGAAGTAACAATGATTCACTGTACTCTTCTCCAATGGTGAACAACATAAAGATTTTTCTTTTACAACTCCATTGCTAAACATAGGGAGAAATGCTCAAACACGAACGATAATTCAAGAACAGATACCACCACTTGGTTCTGTCTAATTTGCAGTATATACAGCTCAGCTGCATTTTACTTCTCTTGTAATGTTATTTCTAAAAAATACATAGAATCAGATTCTGATAGCCTTTCTCATCTTGAAAGAACCTTTGTTTAAAACTTAGTCTCTATTATGTGTGATGGACAATTTGTGGCATAAGTAGACTGGAGTAAAAGTACTAAAATCTGGACCATTATCATTACCAGTGAGAAGTCTTATCATTTCTTGCACAAACACAGCTTACTCTAAGTCTTTAGAAGGCTACCTTATTATCTATGGCTACTTCTTTGCAAGATAAAACATATTAATTTTCTAATCTTGGAATGCATGTGCTAGTGGCTTTACTTTTATCCTGTCAGTCTAAACATTAATTACATATGCTCAAAAAGACAGAGATACATATACACTGTTAACATTCAAAAATAAAGCTTATCCTTGTCACCAGATAGACTATGAGTTCTTGAATTAGTACTAATAACTTTTGCATTAAGATATTACTTGAGGAACACCAGAACTTGCTACAATGACATGGCTATTTGTATTATGATTTCACACAGATGAATTTGCCAGTACAAATCACTGATTACCCTCATTCTATCTTTTGCTATAAAATATTTATGAGTCTCTAATTATATTTTGTAAACACAAATTAATCTTCAAGAAGGTAAAATGTTTACTTGATTGAAAAAGCATATCCTTTTTCCTTGAATAAACCTTATGGTTTTTAAGTGGTGCAAGTTAAAAACTTTACTCCTTGTACTTTTAAAGTCACTTTGGAGAAAAGCAATAGTATAGACATTTTTGCTAGTAGAAAAGTAAAAGTAAAAGGAATGCTGGCATTTATTGAGAATTAAATCAGCAAATTTATAAAATTAATCAGATGTAAGTTGCTTCCATTACGGTTAATTATATCAGAAAATGTGTTTAATTAAGCATATGTTCCAATAAAGTGGCAATTATTATCCACATATTTTACATAGTATGCAGTAACAAATTGTGTGTCAGACAATAACTATACATTTCATTTGCAATGCTTGGCTGAGGAATTTATTGTCTTTCGTATACTTATACAATTGGGCACAATGCAGGATGTAATGTGATTCATTTCTTAGCATTATAAAACTGCACCTGTGTTAGAACTGGTCATTTTATCTTCTTTCCAATCCTAAAATACAACTGCAAATGAAAAGCTCTATGAAGCGAATCATGCACCCTTCCATGCTTCTTTCACTGAATGTCACCTAATTACTTTTTTTTCCGTTGGCTGATATCATTCTTTTATAGCACACCAAAAACTATCAGGCACAGAAAAGAGGTGAGATAGCATGAACTCTCCATGTGTAACTTGAGAAGGTTGCAGTCAGAATGCCTTAGAGTAGAGTGACTACAATTCCAGCTGGTAGTGCAATGTAGATTATTGTTAACCAACAGTTTAAAAAGGCCTTTCAAGTCTCAAAGTAATATACACAGATTAGTCCAGGGCTACTCAACATGTGGCCCACAGGCCACATCTGGTCCGTGGCCCATTTGTTTGCAGCCCACGATGTGGTTTGGGTTTATACGGCACTCAATACATGGGTGGGAGCCAAAACAAAAAAGTAGTCAATATAATGGTCTTCTGTTGATATGCATTTTAGTAGTTAAATTCCTGGACTGTCATTGCTCATTAAAAGTGCTGTCATATGAGTGGAAATCAGGTAAATATTGCATTTTATTAATATAATCAGAACCGACTTAAATGGGGCCTGTGTGTTGTGTAGTCTTGCCTTAATCTTTGTATTCATGCCCATCAGTGTGAAAGAAGCTATTGGTATATATGGAACTGCACTTAAGTTGTGGCCATCAGCATGTGCTCTGAGTATCATTGTGGCCCCCAGGGCTTCCAAAGTTGATTAGTCCTGGATTAGACAAACCTTCTAGAACCACTGTGAGGGTGACTTTATATCCATAATGTCGATGGGGAGGAGGGACGAAATCAAATGAAAGAACTTTTCAAGATCACTTTGGGTACGTCTACACTACAATGTTAATTCAAACTAACTTAGTTCGAATTAGTTAATTCGAACTAAGCTCATTCCAACTAACCGATCCAGACTAAAAAACTAGTTCGAATTAGCGTTTTGCTAATTCGAACTAGCATGTCCACATTAAGTGGACCCTGAACCAGGCTTAAGGATGGCCGGAAGCAGTGCCGGCAGGGCATCAGAGGAGGACTTAGAGCGTGGAGATGCAGTCTCAGGCTAGCCGAGGGCTGTGCTTAAAGGGTCCCGACCCCCACCCCGGAAAGACAGTTCTCAGGGGTGTCCTGCTTGCAAAGCAGTCCTGGCTTGGATTGCCCGGAGTACCCACACTGGGCACATCACAGCACTCGGCCATCAG